GTCTACCAAGCTGTCATTTTGGGAACCCTTTCCAGAAACAAACTCTTTTCTACACACTTCTTAATTAAGCACTTTTAAAACTTGTGATAATTTCATGTTGTACTGGAACTATGTAGTGTTTATATGAATGGTTACAAATTTGTCACTCTAAATAACCATGGTGTATTGAATTTAAAAAAAATTAAATTGTAGTCCTGTTAGCTACTATTTTAATTGTTTCTCTTGGCTGTCTATTTCTGGGTTTTGCATGCAAAAAGCATTGTCAATGTGATGCTTCTTTATAAAATGGAAAGCTGGAGGGGTGTCACTGGCATGTCAAATTTAAATTTCTTTCAGGACTAATAGCAACAGACTGATTTCTCCAGCCCACACATGAAAATTAGTCTCATAATTTTGTAGTCACACTTCTTATCTCTCCTTTTTCTTTTTTTCATAAACACTAAAGAGTCTAATTCCCAACTCTAGTCAATAGGAATTGCTTGGGTAAAGCTCTGCCTGGGACACCAGAATAGCCCTTTAAATTGTTCAAGCAGGGAATATTAAAATATATTTTGCATATAAACCCAAATCACAATTACCCAGGAGGTTCCAGGGGTTTTAATTTCCTGTGCGCATCCTAACCCAGGCTATTCTTCCATAACTCGAAAAAAAAAACCCACAAATTTACTAGAGACAAGGCTGCCCTGCAGAGCAAAGCCCCAACTATATCAATAGGTTTTTTATAAAACCTATCCAATCAACATGTACATAATGACTTTATATCTCAACGCATTCCCTATACTATACCTCCTCTCCAAATAGCTCAAGACGTAAGCAGATGTTGTGTCCTTGCAACTAGGTCAGTTCAAACTGTAGCTCTCCTAAGCAAAAGACCTAAGAAGACACAAATTAAATTGCATTCCCTGCTCTGCACACAATGACTGTCAAACCCACAGCTCCTCTCTTATGCCGAAATGATTATTTAACAACTGGTTGGGCAGCAATTTGAGTGACAAGGTGATGGAACATCTTTCCGACCGACTAGTGGTTTGTCTGAAGCTGACTTCCAGTTTTAAAAAAAAATAAAACACCTAAATTAACAAAACTCCAGAAGTGGGAGACATAATGGTTGGCAAGGTATCAAATTAGCCTTATCTTAATCTTGCTTAGTCCAGCCAGCATGACTGATTATAGGACTGCATTACCCTGGAAGGCCCTAGACTCAGCCTAAAAGACACTGCTTCTAGCCTTTTAGAATTGCTGTCAAAGATTCCCTGGCTTCTCAACATGCAATGGTTCTCTTGGGTTTCAATCTCAGGGCTGGTTCTCCTGGAGAGGAAGAAAAACAAAGTCTTGCTTTCCAAAGTTACCACTGAAATCTCAAGTTAACTTCCTGCCTTGGAGTTGTGTGGCAAGAAAGCACTGAAGCTTGAGAGCTGGAAATTTCACTAGTGTCAAGGGTGTAGCTAGGTGGAAATGTCTAACTTTCAGGATGTAGAGATAGTGAGATGTCAAATGCAAGCCTTGTTCAGGCCTAATAATAACAAGACTGATTTCTACTCCTAAGGAAAAAACACAAACACAAACACAAACATTTTAAGATTATAAAGAAGGAACCTGCATCTTTTTTTCTGAAATTGAACAGGCACTGCAGATCATTTGTGTGGCTTCTTCTATGTGTACATGAGACAGTCATTTTCTCTGTGTACATCTGGGCAGTGGAGAGTTTGATAGTATCCCGTGGGATAATATGCATCAGGTATCCTATGCTATTTCATCTTTGCATCACTCATGGAGACCAGAGAGATTGGAATCATTATAATAGGGATAACATAACCTAGGTAGGTACCCTGTGTGCACCTAGGGATAGGAATTCTTAGGTTTCCTAATGATAAAGTTAATATGGAACCAAAAGGAAGAAATATGCCTTCTTTACAGATATGCCCAAACAACCTGAATATTCAGTACTTTATTTTTATCTATGCATGTATGTATTATCCACAGAGCAGCCTCACAGGATAAATGAAACAGAAGGAAAAGTTGCAATTTTTTTTTCTCTCCCAAATAACAGATGACCAGAAAACTTGTCAGTTATATAGCAGAGCACAGTCATAAACAGACAGCTGATCTGGTCAATTCTAGCAAGCAAACGCTTGATTTTTGAGTAAAGTTAATCCTGGAAGCAGCAAGGCAAAGGTGTAGTGGATAGAAACTCAGGGTCTTTCCAAGCAGGCTATTTGAATGACTACAGATAAGTCACTTAATCATTTAGTGCCCCAAGCAGACCCTAAGTAATAATGAGCTGTCTATCAGTATCACTGAGAGAATTTTTCCACACTGAAAGTTTCCCACATTTTTGAAGGGAGGAAAGTCTATCAGAAGAGGTGGGGTGAGGCAGAACCCTGAGATTTTTATTATTCCCAGGTATCAAAATGAAATAACATCTTATGTGATTGCTACCCTGGACCAAGTCACTCATTCAGTGAGGGTGGTGTGTGTGTGTGTGTGTGTGTGTGTGTGTGTGTGTGTGTGTGTGTGAATGGAATAAGTATTATATAGTGTTTACTATATACCAGACACTACACCCTGCTTTCTACAGATATTATCTCATTTGCTTCTCACAATAACCATGGGAAGTAGGTGCTATTATTGTTCCCACTTTATAGCTGAGGAAACTGAGGCAAACAAAGGTTAAGTGACTTCCAAAGGATCACATAGCTAGTAAGCAGGTGAGACCAGATTTGAAATCAGGTCTTTCTGATTTCAGTCCCAGAGCTCTTATTTGTACCACTTCTCTGCCTTTAGCTTTGAGTCCTGTTATCTTTATATCCCAAAGGTAGTGTTCATCACCAAGGGCGAAAATGCCTGAATATCCTCAAGTTGGTTACATCCTAACCTGGAGGTACTTGCCATGCACCAAAAAATGAATTGTCAACATTTCTTCTAGCTTAAATCTAGTATAGTCTCTCTGCCACCTGCTGAGATTGCCACCCCAGAGCTTGTCCTCCCTCAGCTTATTCATTGGCTATTCTTTCTTCTGGATCAGCTTCTCTCCACTCCCCTCCTCTCAAGTCTCTTTGATGATTGTAGCTAAACTTAATGATATAAGTCATTGTGTTCGAGAGACTTGTTGCTTGCCACGGATAAATAATGCATCCTACAGGGGGAAACTGATTTGAGTCTACTAGAACAATGTTTATACTGGTAGTATGTTCTAATTCACTCATTATCTCCTGTTACATAGAGAACTGGTGAACATAGTTTCCTGTATTAACTTATGTATACTTAGTATGACTACACATACATCTCTTCCACATACACATTGTATTTATGTATGTATATGCTTTAAAGTGTATTTATTGGCTTAGATCATTAAGAAATTATCTCCATGGTAGTTCTGCCGAATTTATGAAAGTATACAAAATTAATTACTTCCAGGTGTACCACCTAGGTATAACATAAACTGTACAACCTGTATGTAGGAGTGTACTTTAATTACGGGCAAAACAAGGCATTTGGTGTTTTCATGATATGAATTCTTAAGTTGAACACGAGGTGCTTTAGGCTGAGTAGTTGGTTATTACAGATGTCATGGTATAGACATGGCATGTAAAGTGATAAAAATAAGACTTTTCATCTCAGCTAAAGAAATAATAAGTGAAGTAATTGAAATATTTTATTTTCAAGGGGTCTCAGGCCTCAAAATACTACTTCCCAAAGAGTGAAGGTCATTTTAAGAAACTCTAACTATTAGATGATGCCTTTCAGACCTAAGCCTCTGTAACTTGTACTTCCCCCCAAAACAAAATCTATTAGCTAGATTATTTTTTGAACAATATGTAGCATTCACTCTAGAGCTGTTACTCACCTTGATCTAATGTAAGGGAACAATGAAATCCCTTAAATTGACACTTTTCTATCACTGGAATAGCAATATAAACCAGTAAGAACTCTACTCCAATTCTAGCTTCATAATTGCTCAATAAAGCTAAAGGACTGTAGCAACTGATTCCATTTTCTGGTCATTGGCCAGGTAAGAATTTTATACTGTGGTTCTCTAGTCTTAAGTCTACTAATTGAATCCAGGTCTAAGAAGGCATCCCTCTAGAGCCTAAAGTTTATAGCTAAGCTGAGGACAAACAAAAAAAAAAGGAGAAAGTGGGTATTTGACAGTGCTGAGTCATTTACAACAGGCAAGTGGTTTCCTCAGAAACACAGTGACATGCCTTTTAAATATTAAAAAATCTTCTTTCTGGGGCATATTAAGAGTGCCACATTTTGCCGTCTCTGGCTACAATGTTGCAACCACTCTGGAGTCAAAAGCGGATGGCTGTAGGGAATTCACCTCTAAGAATGGGCAGGCAACACAAAGTATAGAAACTTGAAGATGCTCCTCAGATACTTGTAACTTTGTCTTAAACCGTTAAAGATGGCTCTTGGCAGGGAAAAAGGAAAAAAAAAACCCTATATATCCTTTGACTCAGATACTGTATTTTTACTAGACTGTTGAATTCCCAAACAATTGGTGGAAGGTTAAGCACCTAGAGAAAATATTGTATAATGGAGCTATTTTAGTTGACTAGGAAGCAAAGGACGGATAAAGCAAATAGACATCTCTCTCTGTGTAGGTAGCCTAAAAATCACATGCTTTTCTCTACATGGGGTCTCCGGCAGACGAGATAGAAACTGGTGAGGAAATGCTCCATCCCCGGACTGTCCACCTAGCCTGGTAACCCCTGCCCCACACTGAAACACACAGTCCCTCAGCATTCTCTGCCCCTGCTGTCTTCTAGAGATACTCCAGCAGTTTGAGCTGCCCGGCATCTCCCCAACCATGGCAACCCTCTGCCTTCTCCTCTGCACCACTTGCTAACCTTAATGCCAACCCGAGGTCATGCCCGCTAGCAAGCGAGCGCCCAGGTTCCCCTTTGCTAATTCTTCTCTAGGAAGTGGGGAGCCAATTGCCCAGGCAAGGGGTGGGGAGGGGGGCCGGAGGAGCGTAGTTGGCAATGGAGACTCACCAGGTAAGCGCCCACCGTGCCCTGCGCCAGCATCAGGGCGCATTCGGACACCAGGAAGATCTTAATGTTGGAGAAGCAGGACACCTTCTTTTTCTTCTTCTTGTTCCTCTGCGCCTCATCCCCCTGCAGCTCGCCGCTCCTGCCTCCGTTGCCACCGCCGCCCGAAGAGCCGCTCGGCTTCTTCCCTTGCATCCTTCCTCCTCCTCCGCTGCCGCTTTCCCGCTCCCCCTCTATCTGGGTGCTGAGGTGGTGTGTGCGTGCGTGTGCTGGTGTGTGTGTGTGTGTGTGTGTGTGTGTGTGTGTGTGTGTGTCTCCGCCCAGGAGGCGAGCAGCAACCCTCCGCTTCTCTCTCTCTCTCTCTCTCTCTCTCTCTCTCTCTCTCTCTCTCTCTCTCTCTCTCTCTCTCTCTCTCTCTCTCGTTCTCCTCCCTCCCCCCAGATCTGTTGGGGTGTTTAGAGGTTGAAGGCTGAATCTCCTCTCCTCCCGCTGCTGCTGCGCTCTCCCCCTTCCTCTTCCTCCTCCTCCACCTCCTCCTCCTCCTCCTCCTTCTCCTCTCCTCCTCCAGCTTGGGCTGTGCCAATCACAGGGGCTGGGAGTGCAGCGGGAGCTCCCCACGCCGCCTGCTGCTGCTGCTGCTGCTGCTGCCTTTCCTCCTGCGGGCTGCTGCCGCTGCCTCTGCCGCTGCCGCTGCCGTTGCCGCTGCGGTTGCCGCTTCTGCTACTGCTACTGCTACTGCCACTGCCATAACCAGCCCCGTTCTTTCTCCTCTCTTTTCCTCTCCTTCCCTCGTTTTCTTCTTCCTGATGAACGGGCACTGCTCCTTTCCCTCTTTTCCCTCCTTCCCTCCTCCTTTGCTCTCCGGAGCTAGGGCTCTCTCTGTCTTTTGCACCCCCACCCCCAACCCCTGGGTTGGGTAGTGCCTGAGCTCGCTTCTTTCTCCCAATCTCTGTACCCCCGCGGAGTCAGTTCCCAGCCGCGGCCAGCGCCCTGGGGAAGGAAGCTCGGAGGGAATCGCGGATGGCGGCGGGAGGCAGAGAGCGCCAGAGGGTGCCAGGTCCCTGGGGATAAGGGCGGTGCCACTAAGGGAAGAAGGGAGGGTCGGCTGCACTGGCAAACGCCCAGGTTTTCAGCTAGTTTTCTGGACTAGGGATAAGGGTGGGAATAAGGAGAGGAATGGGGCAACAGGGTTAAAGGTGCCCGGAACAGGGTAGAGATGGGGAATCTGGGCTGGAAGGGGTGGAGGTAGGGAGGAAGGCAGTGCCCACAAGAGGGTAGTACTGGGAGCAGTGGTGCTTCAGAAAGAGAAAAGGGGCAGGAGCCAATCTGGGCCCCTTTTTTTGTCCAGGGTCCGGGGGACCAACAGAAGCTTTGCCCGGGCCAGGGAGAGCGGCGGGAGGGCTTTTCTGATTGTTCTCCGGCTCAAAGACCGTGCTAGCAATGAGAAGAGAGAGATGCCCACTTCCTTCTGCAACACCCCCACCCCTTTCCTCGGGCGCTCTGGCTCTGACTTCTACGAGGTCACTAGCCCCCCGAGAGAAAGGGGAGAAAGGACCTGAAATGTTTGGGAAGTTATATTAATTTGCTTGTTGCTGCTTTAGCTGCCAGTCTTTCCAGCCGTGTAGGCAGCCACGGTCAAGGGGCAGGACGGTCTTTCTTCAGGTCCTTCACTACCTTACTACAAACGGAAAGGGATATAAGGGCAGAAACGACTCTGAAATCAGCTGAAGAGGCCATTATCCAAAAGTTGGAATTGGATACCCATTACCTCTGGCTGCCTCACCACACTCTTGCTGCTGGAGAAACCTGTGGCATGCAATTCTTAAATAATCCTGAGTGCCAGCGAGGATTTTGGGTCTCAAAGCACTGACTATAATAAGATCACAAATTCCAGAGACACACCTTGAAAAAGCTGAATAAAAACTGAGCGTATGCCTAAAGGAGGTGAGCAGAGTTATCTGGCTCCCTTAGGCTGATCCTGAGACCATTTATCCCTTGCTAATTCTGACTGATTCTGAGAAGTAGTGTGGTAGAGGGGTTAGAGGGCTGGAGTAAGAAGAATTGGATCCAGTTCTACCTGGGTAACCATGGCAAAGTCACTTAATTTATCCTTAGTGTCATAACTGGAAAAGAGTGACTGGAATTTTGCCTTCCCAGGGGTCCTTCTACCCCACTTCCTCCATTTACTGCCCACTCTCAAGTTTTCAGTGCTAAAAGCTATGCCCATGGCACTCCCCCCTCTCCACTCTTCTACATACTCTAGGGGTCAATTTTTGCTAGGATTTTAGTAGTGCCCATTCATTCTGTGCCTTATACCTGGGTGGCTTCTTCCCTTTCCAGAGGTTGAAAACCCAGTAGTGGTAGGGCACATGCCTTCCTCTTAGGACAGCTCTAAGTGAACTTACTTTATCCCATTTCTGTCACCTCCTCCTGGTATAGAAATTGTAAATTACTTCTATTTCTGGCCCTACTCCTTTTGGTCCATAAATGAAGGGAGCTAGGTTATTCAGTGGATGAAACAGGGGACTTGGATTCAGCTATGTGATCCTGAGCAAATCACTTAACCTTTGTGTGCCTCAGTTTCCTCATCTGTAAAACAAAGATAATAATAGCACCTACCTCACAAGGTTGTTGTGAGGTTCAAATAAGTTGTAGTGGTTTGCAAACCTCAAGGTACCATATGAATGCTAGCATATAACAACAACAACAATAATAATAAATGACCTGCAAGGACTTTTCCAACTCTAAATCTATGATTTTAGGGCACTTAGTCACAAACTTCTCCTAACAATCTGCAATTTTTGAAAATTACTTTATTAAAAAGACTCTTGAGAGTGTTCAACTGTCATCTGCAGAAGCTTAATACTTTTTTTTTTATTACAGGAATAGATTTGAAAGCTAAACAGCAATTAACTACATATGTACTTTCCTCAAAAGTACTTGGCTCCAATTTTATTATTAAAACTTATTGAGTGTGGATGGGTGAGGGAAGAAGGGGAGGCATGATTGAGGGTTATTGCTATTACATAAAATAATAAAATAATATACAGTATTGCTATATTTTTTTTAAGAGGCCTGGACCACTTTATAGACACGATCTCATTCAAGTTCACAACAACCCTTTGACAGAGAAAATCTCCATAACTTCTTTATTTGGATATTCTCCTTGGCACTAAATGTGGTAAAAATAATTCCCTGTGGAATTACCCTTTACCATTTTCTCCAATTCTCATGAATGACTCTACCATCCTCCACCAGTCCCCTACATTCATAATTATGGAGTCATGACTTATTGACTCTTCTTGCCGTCCCACCCCCATATAATATACCTCCCCCTCTCCCGCTTTACCTTCTTCCTTACAGTTTAGGTTCTCAGTAATATCTTTTTGGTAGTTCTAGGAGGCCAGGTAGCATAGTGGATCAAGTGCTGGGCCTACAGTCAGAAAGACCTAAGTTCAAATTTAAGCTCATAAACTTATTAGCTGTGTGACTCTGTGCAAGTCAATTCACCTGTCTGTTTCAATATCCTCAATTGTAAAATAGGAGTAATAACAGCATTTCCCTCACAGGTAGGTTGTTGTAAGGATTAAAGGAGATAGCTGTAAAGCACTTAGCACACATTGACTTGCACATAGTAGGTATTATTTAAATGCTTATTCCCTCCTGTTCCATCCCCCCCATCTTCTTTCAGTCCATTTCTATAGCCATCATATGATTAATAGTCCACATCCATACATTGCTTAAATACCCAACCAGTTCTCATTTATTCCCTACTGACTAGGACCTATTAATCTCAGGTATTTTTCCCCTTAACTGCTGGATATTTGTCCCATTATATTCCCAACCATTGGCTCTATATATAAGCACATTGCATTTTACGTCCATTATTAACCGTTTCACTTTAGGTGAAACAGTGTTGTTGAGGGCTATTTGTTTCATAGCAACAATGTTAAAAATGGAAGATGTATTCCTGGTCAGCCTGGTAGCTATAAAAATAAAAATCAATCTTACAATTATCTGAGGCTATATTTTAGGGCTGTGCTGATAGAGTAGAGAGAGTTGGTTCAGATGTGGGTAGACTGGTATATCAAATTATCCTCGAGACCCTAGAAGTTTTTGGCTTATTACCAGCAGAATCAGTAGTGACTGGCTCCATCAGGGAACAAAGCAAAGATTTCAGAGACCTCCTAGAAGGAGGATATGAACAAAGGTAAGTCTTTACTATCCAGAAATCCCCCTAATCTCTAGTTTAAGATCTGGTTGGAAATGACAACTCTCTGATGAGTCTGAATATTATTTCTCAAAGGAAGAAAATAATTTAGTGTCCACAGGAGGGGGAAGGTATAATCTATCTCCTTAGAGAAATGGAACAGTGTCTGACTCCTAAGCAATCTGTGGACAGCAATATGGTTAGACTTGGAGTCTGACAATAATTGTCACTGACAATAGTTATGTGACATTAGGAAAATTCCTTAACTTCTCTGAGCAATAATTTCTCAATCTGTAAAACAGGACAATAACCCTATATAGTACCTAGGGTTGGTGAGAGAATCAAAAGAAATAATATGTGTAAATGTAAAGTTCTTTATAAACCTTAAAGGGCAGTATCAATATCACCCATACAGTACTTTTACATATATCATCTCTAAGTAATACAGGTATTATTAGTCTTATTTTACAGATGAAAAGACTGAGGCTCAGAGAGGTTAGTGTAGGTGATATTTGATCACAGTCTTTGTGACTCCAGGCCATCCTAAACTGGGTTCTTAAAGCATTAGAAGGATAGCACAATTAATAGGATAATGATTTTGAAGTTATAAAAACTGAATATTCTTTCCCTTCTCCACTCCTTCCTCCCCTGTTTTATCAACCATTTAACTCCATTAGTCTCCTTTACTGGGACTGCTGGGAATAAGGGTAAACCTCTTTTCAATGAACTATCTTTAGAAAGTGCTTAATGTCTCTGTAATATTTAATAACCCAATGAATGAAATCTCAAAGTGGACTGAGAGCAGAACATTATAGGAAACACCAAATTAAGGATGGGACATAACCATCAAAATATTGATTACAAAGATGCATTGAAAAAGTGAAGTTGGCTAGAGAAGCAATATGGAAAATGCCTGTAAATTTTTTTTTTTGGTGGAAGGATGGCAAGTTATGATTTTGTTGGTGTGGAAACTCCCCCCAACAATATAGATGTGCAAAGTGGTTTGTAATTTACAGCCTTGGACACTGAAAGGTTAAATGTTTTATCCATGGTCAAACATTTACTAGAGGTCTTAAGAGGAATGATACCCAGGTCTTCTATATTCTAGTTAGTAGGAATCTTATATTTTGCACACCAAGGACAGATCTCTCTCTACTGTACCATACTGTCTTTTGCCTGTAAACATAAATGGAAGCATGTGTCTCTTCAGTTTTTCAGTTTGTATAAACATGAAGAGACATGTCTTTAGCGAAAGGGAACTTTTTACCTCTTAGGAGGTATGTTTGGGGTTAA